CCAGAACCGGGCGGGAACGGCGTTACCGGGCTGGCCGCGGCCGAAGCACAGATTCCGGACCGCGTGGAGACCTCGGACTCGGACAGGTGGGGTACCTGCGGGAAGATGGGCGGCGGCGGAGGGGGGTCCCCGCGGGGGCTGGAGCTCTGAGCTCGCCGGCCCGCTGGACGCACGTGCGGGCACGTCGCTGGGACCGCCCATCCGCTGCCACGCGGGTGGGGATTTCAGTCCTCGGTGCCAGCTTCGTGCTTAACCTCAATAGTGCGGAAGGGCCACTATATAGGCAATACCTTTTAGTGAGAATGGGGAAATCCTGAGGTTATTTTCGCAATCACTGTGTGCACTCTACCTCTTTGAGATTGTAACTGTTCAATTTTGGGGGGTAAGGTCTGAGGTTTTTATAAGACCTGAATTTTTAGGTTTAGCTTGCACTTTATGCGTTTGCTTTTGAAATGGGTAAATTAGGGATCGTGGAAAGGGTTGTGTGTTTCAAATTTGACACGTGACGGTTGTTATTTTGCAGACTCGTGTGTGTGGAGTACGTGCTGTGAAATTAGTTAAATATTGTTCTTAAGTACTGTGCTCTGCATACTTTATAAGAGCCCCCCACCCCTATGTTGGGAGAAAGCCGAAACAAATGGGATGTTACTAAGCCACACTGAACTTTGTATTCAAATATCTCAGTGTGTTGTGTGAGCTATTGAAGTTTGAGCGTAGTATGGACACTTTATCCCTGCTTTGCATTCTAGTGGGCTAGAAGAAATAAGAAAGTAAATGTTTGAATGCAAAATTCGAGTTGGTGAAAGTTTCTATTCAGCCAATTCGGATTGAATATTGTATTGTATTCAAACAGTACAATAAATGCTATTTAAAACCAGAAAACTGGAAACCCTCACAGTAAGGATGAAAACCATGACCAAAAATTTAACAAAAACCGCATTCCACAATGATTGCTGAAAGAAATCAGAGACCTGAGTGCAGAAGGCATTTGAGATGCCAAGCTGAGGAGCATGACCTTTATCTGGTACACAGTATAGATTTTTCAAAAACCTTTAGACTTTTCTGTTTTCTGGAATGTTTAAAAATAAAGGTAGAAAGTAGTACAGCACATGCTATAACCAGATTTAACCGTTAAAATTTTAATGCTTAGATTTTACCATTATTAACATTTTGAGAGTATTAGTTTATATACATACATATTATTGAATTATTTTGACTTCACTTACAAGTACCATTGACATTTTATGTCAGATTATTTCATCATGCATTTTCTCAGAGAAATGGCTTACACAGTCATCACACAGAGCAAAACAAATAATAATTCCTTATAAAATTCTTGCCATGGGAGATTCTTTTAAAGCAAGCATGCCTTCTTACTGAGAGAGGAGGCCATGAGACAGTGGTAACAGAGGAGGAGGTGATTGCGGTAGGAATGGGTTAGTATTGATATCAGTTCTGTAACACAGATGAACAAGGGACAGCAATGAGGACTGAAACCGGTCACAATAGCAGTGGGAGTGGAATAGAGAACTGGAATAATGAGAAGTTCACCAGTTTGGAGATAGGGCTTCATCATTGACTGGGAGAATGCAGTAGTCTAAACTGATTTCAGCAGTGATATAAATTAGGTGCTCAAGCAGAGAAGTAGGTTCAGTAGGGAGTTATTAATTGCTATGACATCCACTCTGCCTCACAACAATGTCTTGAGTGCAGAACGGAGGTCCTTGGGCCTGTGGCCTCTCAGAAGCAGATTGCCAGGCCTGTTCTCCATCACAACTTCAGGTGAATCTCTTACCTTTCCTCCCTGTTTTTTTAACTTGTTGCATTTGTGAGGTGTGTTAAGTCCATTCTTAAATCATGGCTAGTGATTTAGAAGTTAACCTACTCATGGACAGTGATTGAAATCACTGGAGCAAATGAGGTGTCCGTGAAAAGGGGCACAGAAGAGAGAAAAACTGACCAAAGACAGAACACTGAGAAGCAGCACAACAAGGGCTGTGGGGTGGGGCTAAACAAAGAAGGGTTTTACTGGTAATAAGAATGACTGTATAAGTCAAAACACCAAAAATATTTCAGAGGTGAGAACAGTCCACGTGGCTGGTGACTTAGGAATTCAGGTTGTCTGAAGATTGAGGAGAAACTTGGCAATTAAGTCATCTAGCCAATATAGAGAGATTCTTCAGAATTGGCTTGGTGGCAGTGAGAGTGAGTGAGAGAGCTGTTGTGTTCAGAGCTCCCTGTTGACAGACATTAGCTGTCGTTGGGTATGTGGCATGTGAAAAAATTCTAATGAAATGGTCTGGCTTTTTAAAAATGGAACTGCATCACTGCTTAAAAGAACAGTGTAAATATTGGAGCCCTGGTGGCAGAGTGGATTATGAGTTGGGCTACTAACCAAGAGGTCAGCAGTTCTAAGCCACTAGCTGCTCCAAGGGAGAAAGATGAGGCTTTCGTAAAGAGTTAGTCTTGGAAACCCACCGGGGTAGTTCTTCCTTGTCCTATAGAGTTGCATGAATCAGAATTTACTCAGTGGCAGTGAGCTTGGTTTTATTGATGGGTTAAAACAATTTCCCAAGTACTTCAATATTTCTAGACTATAGTCTACTGTGAATTGCTAATTTTTAAATTAAACCGACAAGAGTAGATATTTCCAGATGAGTAGATAGAGCAAAGTAGATATTTCCAGATAGTAATCTCGTCTAATACCATTATCAAGATCAAGGATCCCAGCCTTCAGTATGTTTTACTGTGTACTATAAGGAAGACTAACACCCTCACATATGGACCAATGGGTAACATCATGATAAATGGAGAAAAGGTTGAAGTTGTCAAGGATTTTGTCATGGGTCCACAAACAATGCTCATCGAAGCAAGTCAAGAGATCAAAAGACGGGTTTCAGTGGGTTAATCTGCTGTGCACAAGACCTAGTTAGAGTATTGAAAAGCAAGAGGGTTACTTTGAGGAGTATGGTGTGCCGGACCCAAGCCATTGTATTTTCCATTGCATCATATTCCTGTGAATAAGGAAGAAAGAACATAGAAGAATCAATGCATTTTGAATTGTGGAGAAAAATATTGAAAGTACCAAGGACTGCTAAAAGAACAAACAGATCTGTATTGGAAAAAGTGAGGCCGGAGTAGTCCTTAGAGGCAGAGATGACAAGACTTCCTCTGATATACTTGGACATGTCAGGAGGGACCAGTCCCTGGAGAAGGGCATCCTGGTAACGAGAGGGGTGGTGAACAGAGGAAGAAGGCCCTCACCTAGATGGATTGCCACGGTGGCTGCATCACTGTCTCAGGTCCATAGGAACAGCTGTGAGGATGGTGCAGGACTGAGCAGTGGTTAGTTCTGTTGTGCGTAGAGTCGCTATGGGTTGCAGCCAACTCAGTGGCATCTAACAATGCCATTATAATAATACTTTACTATTTTTTTTAACGTTTTCCCCTATAGTGAAACCGATTCAGATACTTCAAGCTCCTCGTCTTCCTCCTCGTCATCGTCCTCATCTTCCTCTTCATCCCATATTTCACTTCCTCCAGTGCTGTCAGCTGGAGAAGATAATTTACAAGTTGAGGAGAATAAGAATTTCCTTAAAACAAAAGATGAGTTACTTCTTGATGTAAGTACTTAGATTTGTAATTAAATTTAAGTCCCATGCTCTAAAACCGTGGTTCTCAACCTGTGGGCCGTGACCCCTTTGGGGGTCGAACGACCCTTTCACAGGGGTTGTTGCCTAAGACCATCAGAAAACACGTAAATATTTCACAATATATAGTTACATATTGTTTTGTGATTAATCATTATTCTTTAATTATGTTTAATTATGTTCAGTTTGTAATAATGAAAATACATGCTGCATATCAGATATTTACATTAAGACTGATAACACCAGTAAAATTACAGTTATGAAGTAGCAAGGAAAATAATTTTATGGTTGGGGGGGTCACCACAACATGAGAAACTGTATTAAAGGGTCACGGCATTAGGAAGGCTGAGAACCACTGCTCTAAAACATATGAAAACATATTGATTACATTTGACCTAAACCTGCTCCATAAATGTCAACTGTTTTTCTCAACTTTTTATTGGACATGCTTTTGTCATGCCTTGGTTTTCTTGTGTAAATGAGAATTGCTGTGGATAATTTCTAATGTTACATCAAACATTCGATCATTGTTTTTTGCTAGGACACTAGCTATATAATAACACTCAAAGCAATGAAATAGATTAATGCAATAAACACCTTTTAATTTGAAGAGAAAAAAACCCCAAAATTTAAATTACAGAGGCAAACATAACTTCTTTATTCTTTGTTAATGTGGTAGATATATAATCATTTGTCAATTTGAGGATTGAGTGTAGGGGTGGAGTCTAGCTTGTCAATCAGATCATAGCCAATGAGGCCTCTGTGTGGGCCTGGCCTTCTGAGAATTCTGGGAAATCCGGTACTTCCTCCTGGGAGGCAGGAGAGACTCCCTCTCTGATTGCACCCTGGGAAACAGCTGACAAGGCACACGGACCCACCCTGATGGCACCCCTGGGTATTGGAGAAGCTATGCAGAGACCCCTGCCAGTGCTGAGGTGTTTCCAGTGCCACTGGATCCAAAGACTGTCTACCCACTGGCCTGTGATCTTCTACATTTGGCATCACTGCATGTGTTTTGTGAGTCTGAAGAGGACTTTATAGATTGATATAGGACACATGGCCTACTATTGGACTTAAGGACTTGATCCGGACTGACTGGGATGTTTTCTCAATGTTCAATTGCTCTTGTATATAAATCTCTTTCTTATACACATATGAGCGTCTCTATGAATTTGTTTCTCTACTACCCGGACTAACAGTTCATAGGAATTGTTTTTCTTTGACCACTTCACAGTAAGAATGTTTACGTTTTGTACAGCTCCAGTTTTTTATGCTGCAGACATGTGGGTATCGCAGTAGTCTGTTGTTTTTAACAAAAGGCTCCCCAGGTATGACGACTTTTAATTTAAAAACATGTAACCACTTATTTTAATAATATGCTTATTATTTTGGTAAAAATATACTCAGATAAACAGTGACACTAATTCCATTCTTCAATTGTATAATGAATCCTTATTTTGTCCCTCCAAATTATTCTTCCACCATTATTCACCACTCACTAAGCTTCAAATCTACATTGCCCAACTGATTGTTCAACTCAATCTCAAATATATAATTCTCTAAAAGAGCATAATGCTTTAACTAGATATAATTCACTAATGTAAACTATGATTATGTTAAGTAGACCTCAGAAGATACCATTGGTTAAGGTTTTAGGTTGAGAGCTATTTTAGGTATTTGTTTTAGGGGTTCATCTACCCTCAATAGCTCTAGCAAGTCTGGCTCATACCCTCTATTCAGGTCAGGACTTAACCCTAGCTTTTTTTTTAATATTAATTGGGAGCTAATACATATTATACACACATATATACACAACTATATATTATATAATATGTAATGTATAATATACATTAACATAACTTTATTAATGCACGTTAATATATATTAATCTATCATAGTTCAATTACATGGCGCTGAGTTGTAAAATTGCTACCATAATCAGTTTCCAAAGATTATTTTTCTTCCTGGACTAATTGACATTGTCTCCCTTTTGCCACTCCCCCAACCATCCTCACCACCATCCCTGACACCCTTATTCTACTTGCTATCCCTAGAAGTTCATCAATCCTGTTAACCCCAACTTAATCCTGTCATAGTTGTTAACTCTCCCCAAAATGGGGTCATAGCTTGTGGGAAACTGAGAAGAGAGTGCATGTGGACAAATTCTCTATGCTCATATTTACCCGGGAGGCCAGGAGTCTTGTGGAGGGAGGCCTTTCATGTTTGTGGTATGGAGGTGCATCCCAGTCACATTCTCTAAGTAAAAGTCATCCCTCCACCCCTCCCCCACCCCCACCCTACAATAATAATGCCAACTTTAAGGTGCAGCTTGCAAGCACATGGTTGCTACTTTACTATTGAAGGTTAACTGCTGGAAGGCGATTTGCCTGAAGGTTCTCTGCCATATGGAACAATCAGACCCTATTGTCTGTCCCATGATAAGTAGGACTCACTTCCTTCTGATAAGGATCATAGATTGTTCCCCTGTATAAATGCTCAGGTACACTTAAGGTCAAGTCAGCTCAGAGACAACCAAGGTTGGGCTGCCATCTTGACTCTAGGATCCGCCCATCTTGTTAGGTATGTACCTTCCTGTCACATGTATGCTTCTAGTAACTCCCCTTCCTATTGCATGCCTTGTCTAATGTCTCTTTAATTTACCCCTCAATTACATAACTGCCCTTTAGGACCCCTCCGGATGTGGGACTGGGTCCCATAATAGTCACAGCATGCAGTCCAGAATTACAGTACATCTCATAAGACATCGGTGGCTAGGGAGGGCCATATTAGTTAACAGAATCTCACTGGCTCTTCCTTTCTGCTCCGGTGGGTACAGAGTAAGTCTTGTCACTTGGATGGCACCTTACAAGGTTTTAAGACCTCAGACACTTTGCCATAAACAAGGAGGTAAAATCGCAATTAAATACTACATTAGTCCAGTAAACTAGGATGCCGCATGAAATTAGGATGTTAACATGCAAACCAAAAAGCCAGATCATATGATGTGTTTGGTTATATGTAAGCAACTTTAGCAGTGGCCCTTTGCCCCCATATTTGAAAAAATAATGCATTATGAAAGTATTAGACTTTCTTGGATTTGTACCCACATTTTAATTGCCTTTTTACTTAAGTTCCTGAATAAAATATGTTGGCTTAGTCAACCCTTCATACAAAATGAAATATCCCACACCTGTGTCATTTCACAAAGTGATGCTTGAGCCCATTATTGCTGCCACTGTGTCAATCCCCCCCTGACCTCCTACTGTACCAAGCATATTTTTCCTTCATGGACTAATCCTTTCTGATAACTGTCCAAAGCCCCTGTGGCAAAGTCTTGCTATCCTCCCTTCTAAGGAGCATTCTATTCTGGCCGTACTTCTTTTAAAGGACGGATTTGTTTGTCCTCCAGCAATCCATGGTACTTTCATTATTCTTTGCCAACACTATTATTTGAAAGCATCAATTCTTCAGTCTTCCTTATTCGTTGTTCAGCTTTTGGATGCATATGGAGCGATATAAAATACCGTGGCACATAGTAGACCTGAAAATGACATCTTTGTTTTTGAACCCTTTAAAGAAGTCTGTTGCAATTTGCCTAGTTTAAAAAGTCTTTTGGTTTCCTGATGCATTGATTGTAGATGCAAGTAAAATGAAGTGCATAATAACTTCCATTTGCCCTTTAGCATGATGTTGCATATTAAGTTACAAAACTGTTTTTTTAAGTTGACAATAATGAAGGCTGTAGTTCTTGGCCTTCCTTAGTGTTTTTAGGTCCTGGCTTTCAGCCTGCAGGGCCATGTTATCCGCATGTGGCAAGGTGTTATTGGGTCTACCTCTAATTCAGATGGTTCATTCTTTTTCATATACTCCAGCTGCTCAAAATATTTAATCAGCATATAGATCGACTATAAGTATGGTGAAAGGATACATAAGTGATGCACAGCTTTTCTTATTTTAAGCCATAAGGTATCTTTTTGTTTTGTTTTAATGACTGCTCATGGTCTGCACACGGATTCACCATGAACAGAATGAGGTGTTCTGGAATTCCCAATCTTCTCAATGTTAGCCATAGTTTGTTAGGATCTTCACAGTTGAATGCCTTTACATGGGCTCTAAGACATAAAGAAACTGGATGATGTGAAAAAGAGCAAAGCATCTGAATTGGAGGAAGGCTTATTAACAATCTGCCCTATGCAGGATGCTGCCAAGTCCTTCGCCATTATGCCAACTAGTCTGTCCAGTTCAACGGAACTAGCCTCTTGAAACCTTATGGATGAGAGTACTGAAACATTGTCAGTTACTGAACACGTAATGAATAGAAGCAGAGCATTGTCAGAGGTCATTCCAGATCAGTTGCTTGGGTCGAAAGGCACTCAAAATATGACTTGAAGAGGGACCCTAAGTAGTCTACAGTAATAACTCAGAGGGAGTAAAGCCTTTGTGACGTTCATTTGCCAATGGAGTATGACTTCAGAAAATTGGAAATTATCGAAAGTAATGTTTAGGCATTAGTAAGCCGAGATGAACTGGTATTGGGCATTTAGAATGAGAAAATCACGTTTTACTATGCTGGGAATGACACAATCAAGAGGAATTCCTTTCATTCTCAAAGAGAACATTTCACGATCTATCTTGAAGTACAATCCTGTCTGTGATAGCATAATTTCTAGCAGCATATAAAGAAATCCAATGAATACAACTGTCAGATTTATGCAAACTATCAGCTAGTTTGTAGAAATTGAAGAATTCTACCAACATCTTTAGTCTGAAATCGATGAAACACACAGTCAAGATGTATTAATAATTATTGACAATTGGGATGCAAAATTTGGAAAGGAAGAGGAAGAAATGGTAGTTGGAGAAGAATGACGTTGGTGATGGAAATTAATCTGGAGATACCATGATAGAATTTTGCACGACCCGTGACTTGTTCAACAACACAAAAGGCGATTGTACACATGGAATTAATCCAG